ACCAAGATTGAAACCTCATTTAAATCCAATTAAACCAATTAAACGCATCTCAAATTATTATACTCTTGACTTTATTTATTTCAAATTCTGAGACAGGGTCTTACTTATGTAGCCCAGGCTGCCCCTTGAATCTAGGACTCCTGCCTTTGCCTCCCCGCTCCTTGACTTCTTAATGAAAAAGCTTAAATATGATGTAGACTACTTATTGTTTCTCTTTAAATAAATAAAATAGCACTCTGAGTTTAGTATCCAAAACTAAAAAAGGTAAATTAGGCTGACACAGTAGCATGCATCTGTACTGTTTTTCAACAGGGCTTCATGTATTCCAGGCTGGCTTCCAACTCCGCAGCCAAGGATGACCTGCAACTGCAACCTCCTACCTCTGCGACCAAATGCTAGATTAGAGACATGCTTCAATACACTCAGTTCATACAGTGCCGGGCACTGAACCTGGAGCTCTGTGCACCCCAGGCACACTTACTAACTAAACTATATCTCACCTGTTAATCATTGGGGGAGGGGGGTCAAGACAGGGTTTCTCTGTAGCTTTGAAGCCTGTCCTGGAACTCGCTCTTGTAGACTAGGCTGGCCTCAAACTCACAGAGATCCCCCTGCCTCTGCCTCCCAAGTGCTGGGATTAAAGGTGTGTGCCACCACCACCCGGCTGCTGTCAATCATTTTTGAGACAGGTTTTTCTGAGGCTAGCTTCACACTCTCCATCCTTCTGTCTCTGTTCCTGAGTGCTAAGTACAGGTGTGTGCTACTGTACCAGGCTAATTTAACTGTTCTTAGTTTTGGACACCCCAAAATGCTAGAGCACTTGAACACTGCAAACAGGAGGATCAGGAGTTCAAATTCCAGGTCAGCTAAAACTACATGAGACTATGTCTTAAGACAAAACAACAGTAATACTTTAGGGGATGGCTGCGCTGTAATTGGAGTGTGATTTATTGTATTTCCGGCCTTAGCTTATGAGTATTTACACAGGATGTGATGGAGTTTTGGCCCTGAACCCGCCCTTCTGTTTCTTGCTGACGTCTATAAACTTGCCTCTAGTGCCCATCTAACTTACTAGCCCTAATCTCCAATGGTCTGAGCTCCGATACCCACAGGATATGTAGAAGTCAGTCCTTAGAGCCAAAATAGTTTGGACTTTTTGCATTAGTCGTAAGTGAAGTCTGCCATTCCTGACCCTGCTTTAAAGTCAGGCAAGGCCATGTGCCACACTTTGATGGATGAAATATGAGTAAAAGTGGCAGAACGGAAGCTGTAAAAGCTGGTACCCACTCGACCACACATTTCCAACCTTCTCCACCCCTGAGCTAGTGTGACCAGCAGACAGCTTTCTGTATACTTGTGACAAATGGGCAGCAAGAACAGGGAGTCAACTTTGGTTTTGTTAAGTCACCAAGATATGGAGACTTCCTTTACTCTAAACTGCTCAAACCAATACCCCACATCTCCCGGGAAAGCATCTTCTCATACAGCCAACTTTATTTACCTGTTTTACGACAAATATTTTGATTGCACAAAGGATGCTTTTGTAGCTATCCCACTTCAAGGCTATTTTCTTTTCTTTTTGAGGGTGGAAGTAGGGGACAAGATCCCATAGCCCAGGCTGGTCTCAAAATCCACAAACAGCTGAAAAATAGCTTCAACTTTTTTTAAAAAAAAAACTTTTGTCTCATTTTGTTTGCCCACCAAACAGAGGACATCTGCAGGGGTCAGTTCTTCTCTTCTAACATGTGGGTGTTCCAGGAATCAAACTCAGGTCATGAGGCTTGGCAGCAAATGCCTTTACCAACTCAGACATCTGGATGGCCCCATCTTCATCGTCTGATCCTCCTGCTTCCACCTTCAGAATGCTGGGGTTACAGGCATGTACTACAACAAGTGCTGGGGATGGAACTCGGAGCCTCACAAACCAGCACTCTACCAACTGAGTCACCCCCAGCCGCCCCACCTCTGCCTGTTTTTCTTTTTAGTTAGAACAGTTTTTAAGTATACTGCAAGACCAGTAATTACAGTGGACAGGAGCAGCAGACAGTAACTATAGTATCGCCTGCATCAAAATAGTATTTTCTACACAAAATACATATGCCAAGTACCTACTAGGTAAAAACACTGTGCCAGATAACAGAGCAGACAGTCCATGCCTGTAAAAAGTGCATCTTATGCTACGAGTGGAGGAGACAGGCAAGCAATTACAGCAAAAGGGCAAACTTGAGGGCTTGGGATCAGGTGACCCCATCTCTAAGCCCAGCACGGCAGAGGTGAGGGGACAGGAAGACTCTGCGTTCAAGGTCATCCTCAGTTAAACACAGAGTTTGAGGCTGACTTGGGCTGCACGAGGTCTTGTTTAAAAAGAAAAAAAAGTGAGTTGGGTGGTGGTGGCACATGCCTTTAATAGCAGCCCTCAGGAGGCAGAGGCAGGCAGATCTTTGTGAGTTTGAGGCCAGCCTGGGCTACACAGAGAAATCCTGTCTCGAAAAGCTTAGAGAGAGAGAGAGAGAGAGAGAGAGAGAGAGAGAGAGAGAGAGAGACAAGACCAGCCTGCACCAGACAAGATCTTGTCACACACACACACACACACACACACACACACACACACACACACACACGGCAGAGGCCCCAGAATTAGAGAGAGACAGCACATTTAGAAGGAGGGGGAGTACAAAAAGGCTTTTAGAGAGGAAGTTCCCGGTCAAACAGCCATAAAATGCCAGCCAGGGGCAATGACTGAGAAGGACGGGGGTCATTTAAGACCGAAAGAGCCAAATGTGCAAATACACTGGAGCTCAAACAACAAAACACAAAGCCAAAGGGCTCTACCGACCTGGAAAACGTGACCTATCAAAGGGTATGGCAAGCTGCTGATACCAGGCTGCCCAGGGCCTAACCCAACAGCAAGGAGCTGCCGAAAGCAGGGTGGCGCGCCCATGGGTAATGGTGAGGGAGGATTACCCGGGAGAAAGAAAAACATCATCAGGGGGCTGCTGGGGCAATTCCCAGGAACGGCAGGCCCCAAACCAGTGTGATGACCCTAAGAGTGGACGGCAGGGCAGTGCGGTGGCAGCCCTAGGACCTGGCACCAACTGCACGACTCCAATAAATGAAGGCAAGAAGCCACTCTGACTACAGCTTTGTGGTGGCTCAGGCTAACTATAACAGTGACAATACAACCTAAGCGCCGCTTACTGAGTGACTGAGATGTCCAGGTCCATACGGCCATCTGTTTATCCCCTGCTCCTCACAGGACGAAGGTGCCTCTTCAGCCTGCCTTCTGATTCTGTTTCTGTTTAAGAGCGGGTCACTAGCAGCCTAGGCTGGCCTCAAGCTCACTATGTAGGCAGGGAGGACTTGGAACTTCTAATCCTCCTGTCTCCACCTCCAACATATGACTACAGGCAAGAGTACCACCATACCTCCTTTTATGTGGTCTTGACGATCAAATCCAGGGCTCCTTGTGTGCCAGATAAGGACTCTAGCAACTGAACTACATCCCCAGCCCCTAGCTTGCCTTTTGTAGAGCCTCGTCTCTGCTTCTTTTTTTACTAAAAACCCCTGGAAGCACCCACACACACTCCTGAGTGCCCCTACACATTCCCCATCCCCACTTTTCCTCGGCTCACTTCTCCTCCAGGCAACCTTGCCACTCCCTGTGGCTCAGCTCAAAACTTCAGTTCCTCCAAAAACCCTTCCTTAACGCCCTCCCCCCCTACCGTCTTGGAATTCTAGAAACCACACCATAAGCTTTGTTCACACAGAGGGCATGAGAACATGTTCCAGATTCTAGTTTAATTGTCAGAGTTTCCCTCCAGTCAATGCCTTGCACAAAACATGTACTCAGTAGACACTTGACTGTTATGGGCACCAATTAGTCTCTAAGAAACGCTTGCCTTGTTTTATCCTTAATAACTTACTTGTCATGAGACACAGACTTCTGACTTGTGAAAAGGAGAAATTGGCACCACTTCGTATTTCAAAATGTCCCCTACCTTAGATTCTGGGAAACCCCTGTTTGGTTACAAGGTTCTGATCCAGTTTTTAATCCTCAATCTTTTTTTTTTTTTTTTCTTTTTCTGTCTTCTGAGACTGGTCTTGCTATGTGGCTCTTGTTGACCAGGTATTATTTTAGTAGCCCAGCACTGTTTCGGCTTCTGCGTGCTAACTATTACATGTGTGTACCTAACATCCCGGGCTACCATTCGCCGGAGTCTTTAGTTGAAAGTTCACGGACACAACTGAAATCGTCATGACGTCTACGGTGCTACATAGCGGGAACTTAATTCGTGGGCTTTTTATCTTCATGGCACACTACCTACAGTACCAATAACTCAAAGGGCCTCACAAAATGTGTTAAGTACTCTTTACTTTCTGGGATAACAGCTGTCTCCCGCCACCGGGTCACTCCCTTGGCTAATTATGGTGACTCAGTTTTACCGTTTTCACTTCCTCCCCATACGCGAGAAAAACAAACGAAAATGAGGTTTATTGAGGAATCATAAAAATTAGTGCTGTTGTAAAAAGGAGTCTAAACACATCAGTGGGACATCCTCATAACCAAATCTGTCAACCTCGCCAAGATTTTCTCTCGCAAACAAGATCACCGAGAAGACAATGGGGAAACACTCCAGGAGGAAAGGTAGCGAGAAGACGTACTTTGACAAACTGACCCGGTCACTCCGAGGATCTGGCCCCGGGGAAGGCTATGATGACAACCGCTACTCTTGCTGACTCCCGCTAGCTTTTCCCAGGACTTTCCTGCGCTCGTCCCACAGCGGGTAGTGGGTGACCGCGTCCCTCCTCTGCGCCCAGACTCGCGCGCTCCGGGGCGCAGCACGCAGGTGACCTCTGCGCGCTCGGCCCCGCTTGCACGGCCCTCCTCAGGCCTGGCCCCCACCCTGGCCCGGGCTTCGGTCCCCAGTGCAGATCGGGCCGCTGACCGGGGGAGGGGCGCGGCGGCCGAGAACTGCGTCGGGGCGCGGGGCAGGCCTTACCGCAGCGGAGAGGGAGGCCGGGGTCGGGCGGCGCCAGGGCGCACGCGGAGCGGGGAGGTGGCTGCAGCCCGAATAGCGGGGACAGCCGAGGGGACCCCGGCGGGTGCCCAGGACGCGGCGGGCTGCACGGGCGCCGCCATGGTGAGGACGCAGCGGCGGGACCACCAATCCCGCGGTCCGCCTCGGCAGCCGCGCCGGGGGTCGGGCATCAGCAACCAATGGGCGAACCGGAACCGGGCGGGGCACCGGGCAGGCCAATGCGGGGCTTCGCCGCAGGGGTGGGCGGGCCCGGACCCGGGAGACCCAATGGAAGTCAGAGGCCGAGTCCGCCCCACATCGCGGGCTGCGGGAGTTGGGATTGGGGAGAAGCGCAGCGTGGAGCTGCCGATCGTGCCGCAGCCCTGCTGCGGTCAGGTCCCCTCTGGTTCCCAGAGGAAGTCTCCTATCCCTACCCCACCGTTCTGTTGTCAGACTGGGCCGCTGGAAGACCCAGCCCCCCGTGGGCTTGTTTCCTACGTGCCAGTGGTCGTGATCTGACCCCCAGAAGCCTCTGAAGGCCCTGTCCAATCCTGTGAGAGTAAGAGGCCACCTAAACCCAGAGCGCGCTCGTTAGAATTGTTGAGCCTCGCATAAATGTCGCAGATGGGCCACAAGGCCAACCCACATGACCAGCAGTTCAGGAGGTCGCTCCTCATTACGCAGCAGAGCACATAAACCACCTAGGGCAGAATTTAATTCAGAATTTCCCCGAAGAGGAGGTGGGGACTTAGCCTGCCACTCTTGGATGCCAACCCAAACACTGCACCCAACTCTTCATAAGGCGATCTTTTGCTTTGGCAAAAAGCTGCCGTGAAGCTCATGCAACCTTTGGCTGTGGTCATTCATGAGCCCAGACTTGACTGCGCAGGCTAGAAGTGTCTAGCAAAGAACCAAATTTAAAAGTTCAAGGCCCAGAACAAAAACCCCACAGGACAGTTTCGTGAGATTTGGGAAAGTCCCACCACGTGTTTGAGCTGGAGTTTTCTTACAGCTATTCCACTGGCCACGTGTTTTTAAATGGCCGACTTAGCCAAGCATGGTAGAGATGGTGTATACTTAACTACTCTGTAAACTGAAGCAGGATTAAACACTCAAGACCAGCCTGGACAACTTGGTGGGCTCCTGTGCTTTTGTTCTTTTACTATGCATGTATGTTCTGGTGCCTATAGAGGCCAGAAGAGGACCTTAGAATCCCTAGAACTGGAGTTATGGGCAGATGCCAGTCACCAAATGGGTAGTTGGGAACTGAACCTGGATCTCCTGTAAGAGCAAGTGCTCTTAATGGCTAAGCCATCTCTCCATCCCATGGTGGGTCCATCTTTGGGGGAGAGTGGAAAGGGCTATGGATGGATGTTTGCTAATACAAAGACTTAAATTCAGTCTTCAGTTCCCACAGAGCTGGGATTACACCAAGCACCCAATTAGCAGGTCCTTCAACATCATAGGAACTATGGGTGTCTGAAAAAGTTGTGTTCCTCCCTCCTGAAGATGTGTGCTTCTGGGTCCCACTTACCATTCCAGGAAAGCTTAGCCCTGCCTGGTTTCCCCAGCCATACCCACCTGAGAATCTCTGGGGAAGAACAGAGGTCAGCCTCCTTTCCTTGGCTCTGTGGAGTTAACTTCGAAAAGCATTTTTCCAACTCTTCTTCCCTTTCTCCATAACCAATACCAAGCAGTAGCCACCTCCCAGGTTCCAGGGATACAAAGAAGCACTGCGCCTTTCTGTAGGCACATGGTCCACTGCAGGAGCACAAGTGAGGCCAGCTGGAGCAGCTACACTGTGCAGAAGTCCTACAACTGTTCCACAGCTTGGGCTCACCTAGTTACCTGGGCAACTACACTGCCCAGATCAGGGTCACCTAGTCACCTGGGCAACTACACTCCACAGCTCGGGCTCACCTAGTCACCTGGGCAACTACACTGCCCAGATCAGGGTCACCTAGTCACCTGGGCAACTACACTGCCCAGATCAGGCTCACCTAGTCACCTGGGCAACTACACTCCCCAGCTCAGGCTCACCTAGTCACCTGGGCAACTACACTCCCCAGCTCAGGCTCACCTAGTCACCTGGGCAACTACACTCCCCAGCTCGGGCTCACCTAGTCACCTGGGCAACTACACTCCCCAGCTCGGGCTCACCTAGTCACCTGGGCAACTACACTCCCCAGCTCGGGCTCACCTAGTCACCTGGGCAACTACACTCCCCAGCTCGGGCTCACCTAGTCACCTGGGCAACTACACTCCCCAGCTCGGGCTCACCTAGTCACCTGGGCAACTACACTCCCCAGCTCGGGCTCACCTAGTCACCTGGGCAACTACACTCCCCAGCTCGGGCTCACCTAGTCACCTGGGCAACTACACTCCCCAGCTCGGGCTCACCTAGTCACCTGGGCAACTACACTCCCCAGCTCGGGCTCACCTAGTCACCTGGGCAACTACACTCCCCAGCTCGGGCTCACCTAGTCACCTGGGCAACTACACTCCCCAGCTCGGGCTCACCTAGTCACCTGGGCAACTACACTCCCCAGCTCGGGCTCACCTAGTCACCTGGGCAACTACACTCCACAGCTATAGGCATCGCAGAGAGCAGCGTCTGCACCCCCACAGGAAAAATAAGTCTCCAGCTTTTCAAGTACCTAAGCATACACTCCCGGTTCTACACGAATGGCGGCCACCAGATGGGGTTCCTGAGAAGACCGCTGCCTAACAGTTTCCAATACCTCCTCCAGGAGCAGCAGGAAGAGGCACCAGTAGCTACAGGTCCTGGATGCCTAATACAGAAGGACCGCACCCACCTGTGTGGACAGCTTCCCAAGCCCTGCTCCAGAGCCTGACCCTGGGCCACTTGGGCTCCGTGGGGCAGACCACAGTGCATCCTCTGTTCAATACATTTTATTGCTAAGGACAAGTTAATGCACCAGTTTTCAAAATAATTTGGTTTATAGAGTTCATACGTAACAAAAAAGGGGAAGTATTATAAATCTGACTCCTGTATACAGAGCAAGGTATGAAGCCCTCCAATACTGGGCCCAGGCAAACAAATTCAAGAGGAGCAAAAACCTGTTTAACCCCTTCAATGTTGCCCTCTAGTCCCACCCCCCACCCTCAATCAATCCCCCCCACCCCTGATCAAGGGCAAAGCTACACCTGCCCCAGGCCTCCAGTGGCCCCAGTTCATCCTAACCCGATAGCCCCTGCATAACTGTAATTTCCTCTGGACAAAAATCACCCACCAGGCTCTGCCTGTTTCCATCATTAAAATTCTCCCTTCAAGGTAGTCCCCACCCACACCCTCTAATACTGTGCCACGGGGACTCCATGCCTAAAGTTTGTGGGCACATAGTAGGTAACCTCTGAGTTCTACTTCAAGGGCAGACAAAGAGGTGGCAGTCAGCTCCTTAGCGCCTCAATCCTGCGGCTTCGCCAGCCCTCTCCTGAAACCAGTCCAAGCAGGGACAGATGGTACCCACTCCAGCCATCCCCCAGGCCCTGACTCAGCTCAGCTGAGGGCACAATTTCACATTTTGTTTGCCCTGCAGAGGCAAAGAAGAAAGTGAAGGCTAGGGGCTGTCAGAAGCTGGTCCAGATCAAGCACACGAGCATTCGCACGCACATACACTCACACATGCACACACACACACACACACACACACACACACACACACACACACACACACATAAATACAAAAGGGGATCAGGGCAAGCACCAGCACCTCTGCCTTGCTGATGCAGGTGGGCGGAAGGAAGCTACATTCTGGGCCAGGAACAGGGCAATCGGCCCAGCAGGCACAGCTGACCCCTGTTTGGACTGGGGGGCCCCCGATGCAGTCACGGCATTCCAGTGTCGGCCCCTCAGTGGGAGATCAGCACTGTTGCCAAGTATCCCGAAAGGCTTGTCTTCATGACAGAATCCAATGAGGGTGGAGTGAGAAGGTGATGGGGTCGTACATTTCATTCCTTTTCTTTGTACAGTTTTGCTTTTTGAGACTTCTGAGTTCCAAGTATCTGCTGTGCTGTGGAACCCTTGAGTGCTCTCGCCTTGATGGCTGGGAACCTCTTAGACCCAGGAAGCATCTACTCCATGATGGCTCGGTATAGTGCTGGCTCGATGTAATCCTCCCGGTACCTCGAGTTGATGACCCGTTGCCTTTTCTTTTCTTGCTTTACTTCCTTCTCTGTGAAAATCTCATTGAAGCGCATGTCTGAAGCTACCGACTACAAGACAAAAGGTAAGTAAATGATCACTCTGTGACCACTTGGACCCAGAACCACCAAAAGGGCATGCTTCTGCCTTGTTCTTGTCCCCGCTGAGACAGGAGCTGAGGGCACAGGAAGCATACACTCACCAGTCTAGACTTGACTCTCTTGGGAAGCTCCTCATCCAGTGTGTATACGTCATCTCTCTTAACCACAAGCTGTGAGCCATCCTCAAACTCCACCTGCCAAGCAAACAAAGGCCTTTAGCTAGGGTACCGGAGCCTTGCTGGACCTGTGCGCACAGTGGCAATCTCCTATAGCTAGAGGAAGGAGCGTGGTAGGAAGGACAGCCGTGTCGTAAAGCCCAGTGGATGCAAGGCAGAGCTCCAGATCTGTGAGGACTGTTAGGACCTGCAAGTTCCCAAGAGCAAAGACAAGCCGCCTGCCCAAGAGGAAACGCTGAATTAATAAAGTACCCTCCCACATTCAAGCTCCCATTCAAGAACCTTTGGCTACCTGGTACATCTGGATGGGGTGGGAGGCCACAAACTTGGCCCCATAGACTTGACCATCTGTCCATCTCACTTGAACCACTTCGCCTTCAGCAGGAGGCCCCAGCTGGAGACAGTCCTGACTCTGAAGAAAGAGCAGAGGGGAGTGAAGAGTGGCTCCACCCGGTCACAGTGGGAGCGACCCCAGCTTAGGGAGGAAGGGCCAGGATAGGCTCCTGCTGATGGGACCCAGGAAAAGCAGCTTGTCTAGGTAGAAAGTGGCAATAAAGTCACAGGGTTGGCTTCATTTCATCTGCCCAATCCCTGCTGCTTCTAGGTGAGCAAAAACAAAGAACACCACCAAACGGGTATGGTAAACTTAGCAAACATAGCAAGCACACAGAAGAGGTGGGTGTGGGCTCTAGAATCCACGGTCCCTGTGTCC